TAGAGCTGCCATTTTTGCACAATGTACCTAAATTTGCACAAAAAACAACGCTGACAGCAGATCTTTATGTGCGGCTCCATCTTTTTACCGTTTTAATATAAATTTTTTTGTTCTTGATTACATGCAGTGAACTTTATTGTGCTGTAATTTGAGAAGTACTTGTTCAATTTTCCGTCAGCTTGCAGCGTTGCACTCCTTAGGCTTTCTAGTATCCATATATATGTTAATGGCTATGTAATTCTGCGTGCATACATTTTTACAATTAAAAGTGTTAGCCTTATTTGTTTTTCTAGATTTTTTTCAAAATGGCAATTTTGTACACCCTGCATGACAATTCCTGCAATATATCGGAAACTACTACAGATAGCAGAATAATTCTTTTTGCAGAATGAATGAAGCTATATGTTTGGAGCACACAACATAGGAAGCAGATTTTAATATCTCTTAATGCAAATTTTTTAAATTAGTCTTGTGTGACCACACCATGGTCACATTCAGAGCTATCAAGTTTAGTGTACTGTAATGTAAGAAATAATGACCCAATCAAAAAAGTGCTTTCTATGTTGTGTGTCTTATGCTTTCTAGTGTTAATCCCTATGTCAGTTGTAAACTTCTGACTGGTGGTTATTTTGTATTGTGCTGAGAACAATAGAGATTGTTATCTTGATTATTTATTGAACTAATGAAGCTACAAAAAAATACCTACACCTTTAGAATCAGGAGAACAAACTGAGTAAGCACACCAACTCGCATCATATTCGGTTAAAATATAAAGGAGACATCTCACAGACCCATGTCCCCCCTTAACACCATCATCATCATCATGGTAAGCGCGGTAGCGCCAGCAGCGATGCCTGGCAGTGAAGTTACCTGGGTGGTTGTAGTGAACGATTGTCTTCAGCAGTGGGACCATTGGTGGATAGCACCGCTGGTCGTTTTCTGTGGGCCCTCTTGGCCATAGAGTTTCCTAAAATTAACTGTAGGGGACTCTGGATCGTTCAGTGACCATGGGAATTATGGGTAGTACACGGATTTGCCTAGGCTTCGTACTTGCAGGCAGCAAATTGCACTTGTTGCTTCGTTTATTGCTGTGCTTCGGTTTTTGTTTCGAAGAAAAGAACAAACCTTTTTAAACTGTGACCAGATTTGTAAAGGTAAGCCTAAAAGAATACGGTGGTGAAGCACAACCGCTGAACATTTGCCGATTTTTGTTTAGAGAGGAAACGGCTCCAGGCCGCACAAACACACACGGAGCCAGAAGTAAGAAAATTAGACAAATCTGTGTACTAACCATCATTCCCATGCTCACTGAAGCGCCGTGCATTACAGCTTTCATAGACACTAGCGCCAGAGTTCCCTCTAGTGTATATTTAGGAAACTATGCTCGTGGAGAGTATAGCATTGGTGATGCCACTTTTGCGTAAGTGTGTTTGTTTTGTTTGAGTGCATTGAAATATTGTGAGGTTGTGTTTAGCATGCTGATCACAAGTTATTTATTCATTTATTTATTCAGTTATTTATTCAATAGAGTCTGCTGTGTCCATTCGCTCCGAGAGTATTGCCTCAGACCTTACAAGTGGCCCGCTTATTCCTATCGGACAGTCCGAGCAATAAGCAGGAATTTTCTCGGCCATTAAAACTGGTCAACACTGCATTGAAGAACACCTAAAAGTAGTGGATGCAGAGCACTGTTACATTACAGCCGAAAAAATTCCCCTATCAAAAGCATTTCTCCTAACTACCACCTTAGGAATACGCTTGCCTGCAACAATGCAACCAGCTAGTACTTCATAAATTATGCACAATTGATCATATGTTTGTCCTTCAACTGCTAAGGAAATAAACCTGTGCACATGATTACGAGGCATGCTTAGTGAAGGGCTCAGAATTCGACCACTTGGTGCTCTTAAATATGCATCAACACTGTGCAGTACACACGCCTCTTGCATTCTGAACCCATTGAAATGCAACTGCCACGACCAGGATCAAACCCACAACCCTTCAGTCAGCAGCTGAGCACCATAACAAAAACAATCCTGCAGTGGACAAGTGCACACTTGCCTGCAGCATGCTAAAGAGTCTCGGTTGCTAAGCCCAACATGATGAACTTCGCTCCATTCGGCGCAAATGGTAGCAAGTTGAAACAAGTTCAAAATCACAGGTGCGCAAATATTCGAAACTTCAAATATTTTAGACAAGTAAAAGAGCTTAGCAAATTGTATGAAATACCAAGCTATTCCAAATGAATATAGGAATACCGGAGAACCTCGGTGATTGAAATCAACTATGCATCACATAGCTGTGCTATACAGTATCTCACAAAATATGATGCACAAATAGACAAACAAGCTTCATTCACACGAACCAGAAAATGAAAATGTAACCTCCTTACAGATGACTCATTTAAAGGACAAAAACTGCTCCCTCGGTGCATGTCTCTGATATAAAGGGGTTCTACAGTTTAGCAAAAATATTTTGGGAGCACATGCAGGATTTAGTGTTCCAAAGCACGGGCTTGGGCAGATGCAAACAAACAAGCAACCACCAGCAAATGCGATGGACTCTCGTATATTCTCCCCACTGTTTCCAGTGCCAGTCCAATGATAGAGGAAAAAGCACTTCTACTAAGTGGGTTTTTCACTAAACACTCGAGTAAATTGTCAACACACAATGCTTCTTTGCAACAAAACTTGCTTATCTCAAAGTCCTCATAGAAGTAATAATAAACAAGATTGCAACGAAGCACGCCATGCACCTATGTTGAACTGGAACCATTAAAAACTCAATATTAGAAATATAGTTTCCCTCGCTTCACAGAAGAACAGATATTTCACAGAACATTTTTGAAGTCTTAGCACTGCAGGTAAGCTGAATTGAAAGGCCATGCGCTTATTAGAAGTGACATTTTGCAGGAATAGATACCCGCATTTACTCGCGTTGACGCCGATTAGGGGGGAGGGTTCATTATTTGGGTGCAAAAAATCGAAAGTGTCATACCAGCAAAAATTTCCATTCACAGTATTCAAAAACTGTCCAACTACTGCTGGTTTTCAATTCAGGGACAGGACTATGGAGCCTCTATTCAATTGATTATGTGGGGTTTAACGTCCCAAACCACTATATGATTATGAGAGACACCGTAGTGGAGAGCTCCGGAAATTTCGACCACCTGGGGTTGTTTAACGTGCACCCAGATCTGAGCACACAGGACTACGACATTTCCACCTCCATCAGAAATGTAGCTGCCGCAGCGGGTATTCGATCTCGCGACCTGCGGGTCAGCAGAGAGCTTCTATTTGAGGGCTTCGCTCTTCACAAAGAAAAACTGGCCTTGTTGCGGCCTGCGAAATACGCAACATACCTTTTTTTGTAGCCATAAGCTGTACACGCACTATTAGTACAGTTGCGCCACACGTGCCAAGACACCTGCCGCACACAAGCAGAGGGCGTAAAAGAGTACTGTATGCACTCTCCGCACAGCTGTGCTGCATGTTCCAGCACGTGTGGCACGGCTGTGCAGATAGCGCGTGTACAACCTAACGCGCATGGTCAACCAACCTGACCGGCCATTTTGCTAGTGTACTGGTTGGTTGATTGTTTAAAAAAAAAAAAAAAAAAACCGCAGCGTCTGATAGCTGCGCATGCCCGTCTCAGGTTCCTGTAGCACCATTGGTGTGGTTCCACTTAATTTTTACTTCGCTTTTCCACAGCCGTGCTTGCGTGGTACTATAAGCTGGCGGTTTCTTTTGCGCTTGACAGATGGCGCTCTGCAGCGTATGGCACGACTTTTGAAATTCGATTGATGTCCATGCTCGCAACTGTAGAGCACAGTTGTTAAAATATGTTAACTTTTATTGCATTGCTATTTTGCGACATAATGCCATGGTTTACGTTGTTTTGATTGTCAATGGCACTGGCTATCATGCTGATGAAATGCAAATACATTCAAAAACAATTTTTCTTTTTCAAGGACTAAGGTAGGGGGTAGATTCATTATGCGAGTGGATTCATTACGTGAGTAAATACGGTAATTGGCACATTGACTTTAAAGTAGCAGTTACAGATACCCCGCAAAAGCAAACTTTCGAGAATATGCAACCAATTTCCTTGCACCGAATTTTAAAGATCTATTCATTCAGACCCCCCCTTTACATATGGGTTCCCTTGTTGCCTTATACAATTCAATATTTCATCCAAAATCTTGCTCTTCGATATTTATGCAACTCTGATTAAAAAAAAAGAAACTTCCAAGACATTTCTTATAAACAGTCTTAAAAAATCAGTTCCCTGCTGTATATCACTGGCCATCCCTGAACTAATTGCAGCATAAATGCACTGCTGCGGGATGAATAACAAGCTGCTGCGGGGAGAATAACAAGTTGAAAGTGATTGAGCATGCACTAAACAATGGCAACAGGGCCGCCGGTAGGCCCTTTAGAGTCGACGAGTTTTGTGTTGACTGCTGGTGCCCGCAGATGAAAGACACCAAGACACGGACCTTCCGTATGCTTATGACTGGGATTGATGGTAAACTATTTCGTCAGAAGGCAACTGCGGACGATTCTGTTGCATAGCCATAAGCCTTATACAGAGGTTCTACACTTACCTTTTGTGGGCTCCGGTTGAGCGACGAACGCTACCGCTACGCCCACAAGCTTAGCGTACAATATTCCAATTCTCCACTATTTGCTTGGACCTTTTGTGTCTCAAATAAATATTGCCTTGTGTTGAACCTGTTCTTTGATATTGTTGAGGTAAGTTTTAATTAGCACTTCTCAAAGCTTGCTGTTAGTTGCTGGCGTGAGAATCCCGATTTGCGGTCACTTTTTTGCTCTGAACGTTTTCGTGGAAAGTTTTCCCTGCGTAATTATCGCACCCCCCCCCCCCCCCCGCATCGGTTTTCTGCCAAAAAAAGTGAGAGGATTATGCGAGCAAATACGGTACTCAGAGTGCAGACCTCACTGCAGTTGTGTCCCTGCAATGCAAAAGGCAACACTCACGTGTGTCCACATTGTCCAATGCATTGGCCACACCATCCAGGGCCTCAAAGAAGTCGTCCGTGTAAACGTGCTCGGTGTCCGCGCCGACCCTGTTTTCGTGTGCGACAATCTTGACGTCAGGGTTCATCTTCTTCACAGCACCTGCAGCTGTGCCCGCCTTCATACGCTGTGCAAACCGAAAAAGGAGAGGGAGAAGGTGCTGTCAAGAAGCATGAAGGCAAAGCAAGGACACCTGCGTGTAAAACTGTACGAGAGAATCTTAAAGGAATTTCACACCCATGAAGCTGTGAAACACATCCAGTCAGCGAAGGCTGCACTACTGGTAAACTCTATATATCGCTTGCGGGACCCTTATCCGATGAGCACTCCCATGGTTGCTCAGATCTTCCCCTCACTTGAGGGTGTAGAAAAGCTGCATAGCGCTTGCTGTATTGTAATTACCCGAGATACGTTGGGATTATGCAAGACTAATATAGAAAAAAAAAAGTTATTGGCTGGAGCATCTTTGACCAACTCACTCTTGACTAATGGTTCAACCACATCTGAGGTGAAGACCTCTTCATGTTCAAGCCAGCAAAGCCAGAATGTTCATTTTATGCCCCTAAAGAAAATTCTTCAAACGACATCAATTACTGTCCATAAACTCAATAGTAATTTTCCAAATCGTGCATCAAAATCAAGCTTCTACGAGGCCTAATACTAATTAGCTGTTCACCTTAAATGTAGAGGACTCTGCACATGCCCCATCTAAAGAATCTGCGTAAAAAATTGTGCACAATATGTGCGAAAGCCACTGGTGCAATCATGCTCCAGAGTCATTTGAGAAAAATGCAGACACAAACAAATCTGCGAATTTCATGTGACATGCAATGCAATGAGTATTTACTCACCTACTTCAGAGGCACATGCCCCAAGAAAAAAAGGAGCAAGGTCTCTCAGAATCGGTGGGCCAAACGAAAATTTCAGGGTTGAATGAATTATCAAGTGTCTACTGTATTGCGAATAGACAGCTGTAACAATGAAGCCATGCATACGCACACTTCGTGTTACTGAAGCGCAGGCGATACACTACCACGAGCCTGTATACAGGATGCACTTAATGACCTAGTTTCAAGCTTTGATATGATAAAGCCTAATAAAAGCCAATACAAAAGAGGCCCACAATAACAAAAACAATAACAAAAAGCACTCACGCCGACATCCCATGGCCGAAACAAGAACTGCCTGTTGAGATTTGACCGCTCAATGACATCCATGTCCGTGATGTAGATGCAACCATCTTCGGCTCCCAAGCCCATCATGGCGAAGTTCTTGAGGAGCTCGCAGCCGATGGCACCAGCACCAACCTGCATTGGTTGTGGTTTGCTCAATAAAAATAACATTGGGCAAAAAATCCAGAAACTGTACTGGGACAGTTACATGACCTTTTCCCTTCAAATAGCCATCACGATGCCCGTCATAATACAGTGCTTTCTCGTTTTTTCAAAACATACGTGTGATGTCCAGCGCTGTGAACACTACTGATGGAGTCATTCCTCAAGAAAAGGCGGGGAGAAAATGGCAGTCCGGTGACCAACTCCAATACTTAAGTTCGACTGTGTGGATCGTAAGAAGCTTAACAATATTAATTCCAGCTGTTTCATGTCGAACACCGTGAAATGACTAAGGGAAATGCTCCAGAAATAGTGACTGCCTAGAATTCTCCACAAGCACCACGCGCCCTCAGCATTCAGCTTCCACAGAAATGTGGCAACCATAGCCGAAATTTGATCTTGGAACCTACAGGAGAGCCCTTGTGCATTTACGACTACCGCAACAGGTAAAAGTTTAACGAATGGTGTAGAGAAACTGAGCTCTCACCAGGAAGTATTTCTGGGCTCCCAGCTTCTGCTGCACCTCAGCCCCGAAAACGCAAGCCTGCGCACCGTACCGGCTGTTCACCTGCAAGGAAATGTGCCCATTTGCCGACAACAGTCTTCCACGTCTTTTATAAGGGGGGTTTAATTATAACTGAAGAGACCCACCAGCGTAGTGGCACTCTCTTCTGAAACCGTCCCCGACTGCGGCAGGCACTCCAGTGCATCAAAGTAGAACCACTGCTGGATCGGGTTGAACTTTCCACTGCATGCCTAAACACACACACACAAAAAAGTGTTATACCCTATTTACGCAACTGTAATGCGACGACTAAAGCAAAGGGTCACTTTTCATAACATCTAAAAAGGACAAAAAAAAAAAAGAGGAAGAAAGTGTTTCGATATCAGATTGTAACACCGAGTCAACTTTAAGGGGGCAGACTTGTCTTAGACATTTTTTTGTTTATTTCTTCAGTGATCGCACTGCACAGGATTATTCAGTTTTTTTTTTCTGCTGATTTCAAACATTTAATTAGTTTTCCTGTCACTCATCTTGTTCCTGAGATAACTTTAGTTCACCCCTATTGCTTAAGGGCACCATAGAAAACAAAGTGCTTAATTAAAAGTGTTTTAAGATATGCCAATAAAGATTAATGACTACAGATTTAATGTATGCAAAAGTTTTTTCCTTTTAGGCCTTTCTTGGTTATTTTGAGTAATTAAAAGGCTTGTGCTCTAAATTCTGCTCTCATACTTGCATTCTACACACATACAGATTTATATTGCAGAAAGAATTGTTGTACCTGCCCCAGCTGCAGAGATATTGAGGCCTCAAAATTGAACAGTCGTAAATTTACTTTTTTGAGCAAAATGAAAAAAAAAAAAAAACTGAAAACACACAGCTTCTTCAAAAAGCAACAATCATGGTGTGCATGTTCTGCAATCCTCATAAAAGGTGCTGCAGGTTCTGCATGTTAACAGCAACAAAAATCTGGACAGCTAGAATGACATACAAAAAAAATTACCACTTCCTGGTGTGTGAAGATTTGCAGAGATAGAAAAATACTTGAAGCAACGAAATATGGCAATTTTAAAAAATGAATTTTTTGCCACTTTTTGATCCTAAAAACCAGTCTGCCCCGTTAAGCAGCAAAAATGCAGAAAAAAACAAAACAAAAACATTGTCGCATTCAAGTACATACTTTGACTACCGTAAATAATAAACAATACATCTCTGAGCGAGCCACTAAAAGAGACAACAAAGGTAGGACATGGACCTTTTCAATTTCACGCTGAAATACTTATGCTAGTCAATGCCCCCCCCCCCCCTTTATGTTTTTTGACTACATTGCAATGGTTAATGTTTTTCGACAATGATTATTTGCCTGGCTTCCTCAAACACAATACAATGAACCTTTACTAAAAGAATTATGCAGGTACGTTGTACAGATGCTGTCAAAACTAGATATTGTAGAGGATGTGGCAAAAATCCAGCGAGCACCATTGCCGATATTTTTTTCTTATTTTCCTGCTTATTATGAGTTGTCTTGCAGCCAAAGTGCTTTTTTTTTTTTTGGGTACAGCAGGAAATTTATAATTTATTTTTACAAACTGCAGCCTCAATTGCAAAAGTGGGAAAAAAAAAATTCTTGAAATAGTAGAGAACATACACTTCCAGGAAGCAAATTCCAGGTTTTCATAGTTGAAGGGAAAAAGCTATGTTTGAACATGGCAGTGTGGATGAAAAAAGTTGCAATGTTAAGGGGAGACACTGGTCTTAAAATGTATTTTTTTAATTTCGGGTATTTACAGCCGAAATTCTCGTTAATATGCATTTCTCACAGCTGAAAACAAATATGCACTTGGTGCTCAGCTGTCACTACCAGGTTCTAAAGTATTGACTGTCTCACAAACTTACATTCTGCCCCCTGTTTAGTCTGCTTTCTCATAGAGGATTGCTGCAAGTTAGATATGACAGTGTTCTGTAAATAACAGGGAGTGCAAGCAAACCATCCTTTATTTTTAGCTTCATTGGTTCAAGAGTTATGACCTCAACAAGTAGACTAGTCAGAAATCTGAAACCATTGCTTAATTATACCACTAATGAAATCACTGTTCTCAATGAAATCCTCATAACTTTTTGGTCTTGTTGCACTCATCAATGTACAAGCTTTCGGATGCTGCAAAAATTATCAAAATCCAACTACTAGATCAAAAGATACTGTTGGCAATGGCTTTGAACGCTATGAAAAATGTTTTGAAAAAAACGAGAAGTTTAGGGAGACTGTGAGCATGTATATTCAACAGGCAATGGTGTAAATCACTGCAGTAATGATGCTAGAAGCCACCAGGGGTGTAATTGTCATCATTCTTCGTGCGCTTTCTTTTCATTGCAGGCCAGATGCTTCCATGCATACAGCGTTTTCACGGTGCTCGCGCAGTTGTCAGTAACGTGCGCAGCAGCTTTCTACGAGGCAGGAATCATTCCCACTTTCATGTAATCTTTATACGTCTTTGCATCTCTGTGAAACAGTGAAAAAAAAAATGCAATTCAACGCAGTTTGTCTGTTTGCTGTGCCGCGAGCACCACGAGCATGTTGATCTCTGAATGGGCCGCGCGCCGCATCCCTCCTGCTCTCTGCGAGCTCCATACAAATTTCAGTTCCCCGCCCTCATCATACGTAAGCACAAGTTTCTTGGCAATGCCATATTCTTTTCAGAAATGCTGCCAGGCCCGCCACACACACCGCACTTCATACACTGAAGCAGTTCATTCATTATCGCTAAACTTACGATGGTGAATGGCGTTCCACTGGTCGCGGTCCCTTCAGAGTCGAAAAACAGACCACTTGCGTTATAAGGCTGACGTCGACGAAAGGTCTCTTTGAATGTCACTCACACAACAAGCAAGGGCCACTTTTTCAGCGTCAGAAACCAGGGGAGTGCTGATGCGCAGGTCTCGCGTATGATTGTTGGCCCCGGCTACCACGTCCGTGATCGCAGGAGCCGCGTTCATGATAGCATTGGCACAGCCAGCTTTTTCCGTGTTCTCGGCGACAGAGGGTTTCACCTATGATGCATGCTCTCAGACACCGTTTTCGCTTTTTTTTTTTTCAAAACGCATGAGCAGTATAGAACTTTCGATAATTGCACAGCTGTCGCTTAGGCCTCGTCACAAAATGGCGGATTGCGCACCGCTGTTCAGCAGACGAATCCTTTGACATCCAACAATGAACCAGGAACTGCCCCACATTATAATAGTAACGCTCTAATGATGTGCGAGTATTTGGTTTTTCTTTATTCGCGATAGCTGCGTTGTTGCTAGAAAAAAAAGCGTTCTGCTAGGAACAGACAAAAGAAGAATACGGCTTGCAAATGAGACCAAAATGGCTGCGCTACTTGGCGTGGTTCTCAGGCACCGCGGCGTCGAATATGACTGAGGCCAAATTACTCGACAAATATGCATTACAGGGCAATAGCATTTTCGGGACACCTTCTTCAGACCCTATCATGATTAAAAGAAATACTTCAAAAAATCAATTTTTCGGCCTTTGATACCAGTGTCTCCTTTTCAGGGCATAGTCACTCCTCATAGACAAAGATCTAGAAAACATAAGCGATGAATGTAGTGTTGAAGCGAGAACAATCGATTAAATTGTGCAGAAATTTTAGGCGTTCAACATGGCGACGCTTCACAAGTGTAGCGAGACCTATCTGGAGAAGGAAATTCGTTGGAAAAAAATCCCCATCTTTTTTGAACAGATTTGAGCTTTTCGATGTCACATTTCTTATGGGGGTTCCATACCAGACTACCGTATTTGAAAATAAGGTGCATAAGAGTTTTGTGCGTAAGCAGTTTGGTTTCCCGAGGAGCAAGACGGAGATGTAAATAACCCACACTCTTGAGGGCTTTGTTACATGTGAGATCAATATGTTTGGACCATGATAAATTATGTGTCATAAGGATATCAAGGTACTTAAATTCGGAGATCTTTGACAAACTAACATTGTTGAATCCTTAGCCAAAAGTCAACAGGCACGAATGTCTGGTAAATGACAATGATTGTCTTGGAGAAGTTCATACTAATTTGCCAAGATTTGGACCAGCTACAAAAATAAGAAAATGAAATTAATTCACCATGGCTAGAGAAATACTTGCCAAGACGTTCCTTTATGTATGGAGTGCAACATCATTTTTTTATCATGATGTAAAAGATTGCCCTCACCTTCATGATCTCCTGCGCAGCGATGCCTCCAATGACTGCTTGCATGGGGCAGAGTGAGCCACTGGAGACGTGGGCCAGACCGGAGAGCAGCTTCTCATCGAGGCTCTCCAGCGGTTTGGCTGAAGAGGCATTCTTCTCTTTTGCTAGGGCCACCACCTCAGCTGCATCCTCCTGAGGATATCAACCACCCAAGCCAAGCACGTGCATTTAAACATAACCAATTCTGTCGATACTTCAGCAAACCATACGTGCCACCCATTGGGCTTAAAGCATGCTAAATTAATGAGTTTGCACCGGGAAAGAAAAGGGGAGGGGGACCATGAGCAGGATTCACTAGGTAATGTGCAAGAGGAAAGGGGCTGGGGGGTGGGGGGGCAGTCGCAATGAGCTGCTAGAGAGGAGGCTGGGTATTGGGCAATAGGCGTAACTTGCAGAGAAATGTTTAACTTTTATACAGTCGCTGACTGTATATGAGGACTCTGCGGGAACCACTAAAAAAGTAAGAGCAATAGAGTAAAAAAGAAAGGGGAACAAACAAACAAAACAAAATGTGCTACAGTCGAAATCTGCTACATTAAATGCTGCTGCAACAAAATTTTCGCTACAGCGAAAAATTAACGGCTCCCTGTCGGCACTCAATAGGAGTCGATGCATACCGTAATTACTCGAATATAACGTGCACCTTTTTTTCCGGTTAAGCCAGTTCATAAATTGCATGCGTGTTAGAATCGTGTACGAAAAAAAAAAAAAAAAAAGGTCATTCTATTGCTATCGGCATTTCCAAAATGGTCACCCCCCACGTGCGTCGGCCATTTCTGCCTCTGTGTTTCCCAAGTGCGGCCCTTCGTACGTGTGCTGAGGAGTTCATCTTGTAGTGCATTAGCATCGACGGCATAGAAGGGCGGACTCCAAAAACTCGTGTGCATTACGATGCCGCTTTTAAAAGAAGTCATTGCGTGTGCAGAAACGGACGGAAATCGAGCCGCATCGCTGTCGTTCGGAGTTCCCGAAACGTGTGAAGGGGACTGGCGAAAACAAAAGCAGAAGATTGTCGACAGCAAAGCTTCACGCAAAGCGATAGTTACAGCGCGAGAACAAAACGACGACACAGAGACAAGAAGGACACGAAAGACACGAGCTGTGTCGTCGTTTTGTTCTCGCGCTATAACTATCGTCATGCTGTACCAACTAGCCCAAGCTGCCACACTTCACGCAAAGGCTTCAGTGGACCACAGCAGGGTCGGTTTCCACAAATTGAAGAGCTGCTCGGCGAGTATATGCTTGAGCAGCGAGCGGCACAGCGACCCGTGACGACGGAACTGCTCCAAGTACGTGCTATGCAGTTAGCCTTAGAAAAAGGGCTAATGCGGAGCCAGTTTAAAGAGAGCAGGTGCTGGATAACTACCTTTATGAAGAGGAAAGGCCTTTTCCTCCGAAGGCAAACGGGCATATGCGAAAACTTCCCGGAGGAGTACGATGAAAACCTTCAGTTTTCAGAGGTTCGTCCTGAACTTGCGGCACAACAACGGCTACCTGCTTGGGCAAATCGGGAATGGCGATCAGACGCCTCTTTATTTCAACATGCCGGGCACCACAACCGTCAAAAAGAAGGGGGCGAAGCAAGTTCGCGTAAAACTACAGGTCCACGGTAAAACTACAGTGACGGCAATGCTCTGTTACACGTCAGATGGGCACAAGCTTCCCCCGGACCTCATATCTAAATGGTAGACGCTCCCGAAAGGAGTCGTTTTTTCGAGTGGTGTGATCGTGCGGGCCAACGAGAAAAATGGGTGCGCGTTGCAACCGATGTCTTGCTTTTTTTTCTTCATCGTTGAAACCGGGTGCGCGTTACAATCGAGGGCGCGGTAGAATCGAGTAAATACGGTAACTTTAAGAAGAGGAAAGGCTTTTTTCTCCGAAGGCGAATGGGCATATGCGAAAAGTTTCCGGAAGAGTACGATGAAAAGCTACCTGCCAAACCTGGTCATCACTTCAAATGTGAAATTCTGCTCTTAGTACATGATGCTCTCAATCTAAAAGAAAAATCTTAAGGGTAGCAAGAACTACTACACACTGAATAATGAGCTGTGTGAACAGACAAAACAGAAATGCAGCTTTCACAAAAAAATTGCGTCCCACTAACTTATGATTGAATGTCCACAAGGCATACAACGAAGTTTGCTATTATCCATAGCACTTAGTGTTCCAAAGCACGGACTTGGGAAGATACAGCAAACAAAAAACATCCGCCAGCAAACTGCGATGGAATGACATATGCTGTCCTTAACATTCCTCGTGCCAGTCCGTTTAGAGAGGAAAAAGCACCTCCACTAAATGGGTTTTGACTAAACGCTTGAGCTGAACAGTCTCATACCTATTGCCAGAACACTAAAGCGTTGTTTCTATAAAAGAACTTGCTTGCAAACACTGACACGCAAGGACAGTTTTCTCTAAGTTAAAAATAGAGCCTCATTATAACAAACTTGCACATCTTACACAAAATTAAGTTCGTGACACCCAAATATTCATTATAAATATATATTCCTAATACGGTATCCATTGCAAGACTATCCTTCCTTTACTTTGTTATAACCAATATAGTGTTATCCGGGTTTCTAATATCAAGCTTTGAGTGTAATAAAGGAGTTCTGTGAGTCATCATTGGTTTTCCTATAGCCTGCAAGTCAACACTGGCAATGCAGACAGCTCACAGTAAACAATCGCAGGCTTTCTGAGATGGTCCCACTAATTTGAAGACTCTGTACCTTGTTCCAAGGTCGCGGTAACCGGGAGTGCTTTGCCTCGAAGGCGTGAAGTGCTTGAAAGCCCAGGTGCAACTGATCTTGGCGGTCCATCTTTGCGAAGTCCTGAGATGACGTACTCTGGCTCTTCGAGGGCATCCTTTAGAGACTTCTGCAAGGGCAACATGAAGGGAAAGCGAACTATGTGAACCACACGGCGATACAAAATGCACATAAAGTACTGACAGTGCTGCAAATGAGAGCATTCAATAGAAAAACCAATTAGCTTTATTATTTGGAATGTGACAACTTTGATAGCTGTAATCATGTTCTGTAAAATGTGCATGCCCATCCTGTCAAATATATAAGTAAAAGACAGTTACGGGGGGACGCGGGTCTTAGAATGGTGAAAAATGGCCAAAAGGTCTATTTTGAGAAAATGCGATATTTGAAATTTTTAGACTAATAAGCACATGTCCTCAAATTGTGAACGCTGAATTCGATCAGTAAATGGATTAAAATTGATTATAAGTCGCCACGGGAGCCGCAAAACAACCCACGGCAGCTCAAATTCGTTCAAACATCCCGCGCACGCCGCCGGCGAGGCAGTCGGCCGATCGCCGCCATCTTGGGCTTGTTTTGAAGCTGATTCCTTTGTGCGCATTTTGCCACTTCAAAATGGCGTCGCTTAAACAGAGCGGCTGCCCTCGCCCTTTTTCCGGAGCCCCCTTACGGGCCGCTGATTGGCCGGAGCACGCGCGCACCAGGAGAGCCCTCTGTTCCTCGCTTCCCATTGGCTGATGTGGCCAACGTTGCCCGCGCTTTTTTTTTAATATTGTTCCTTGGCTGCCGGTTCCCGTTCGCGCTCGTTGTTCGTCTGCTTCCCGCACGTGCCTGCTTGTGCTACGCGACCGACTTTCCGTCTTTTGCCAGCATGATTGGAGACGCTTGTTTAAAGAAGAAGACGCGCCAAGCGTATGGCAAGAAACGGAGGCGCCCGTGGAACGCCCGCCAGAAGAAAGCAGCCGACAACATGCAGCAGATTTCACCCGAGGCCGCCGAAGCGGCGCATTCTGACGACGGTGCGCAGCCGCGGCCGCTTGTGCTCGAAGCGGTGCACTCTCCTGTGCCTTGCAGCAGCACCTCATCGGATTGTGTCGTCGGTTCGTCATCTTGCACTTCCAGCAGGATCATAGACCGGATTGACACGGCGTTTTATTCGGCGGACGAGTTTGCTAAGTGCGCGAGAAATGCAGCGGGCTTGAAGGCATCACTCGCATCGCAGTGCGCGACCGAACGCAAGTTCGAGTTACTAGATATTGATCTGGAGGATGGTGGCAAAGAAAACTGGACAGAATTGGTTATTGTTGATCTGGCGGCGATACGCTCGTTATTTGGACTTGTCGCGTGCCCAGAATGCGGTGAAAGAAGCGTCACTATTTCAAAGGCCAAGAAAGAGTACGGGCTGTGTTCGAAGCTCATAGTCACGTGCGGCAGTTGTGACTTTCGTGAAGAGCGTTTTTCGTCCCCACGTATAGCCAACAAGACCGACGCCAAAATAAGGCCGTTTGAAGTTAATATGCGTGCCATGAAGGCCATCAACAGTATTGGCAAGGGGGCAACGGCTCTGTCGGACTTTTTCACCGGGATGAATATTTCGCATCGAGGGCTTCACCACAAGAGTTGCCAAAGCCACATGAATATAATGAAAGAAGCCCGCTGTGCAACATGCTGCCAAATGCGAAGCGGCGAGTGTTGCTCGCGTCAAGGAGCTCTATGCGGAGTTCGGCAACGCGCCCGGAAACGTCGACGTCATTTATGATGGCACCTGGCTTACGCGTGGACATAGCTCGCATATATGTGTTGGCTGCATTGTTGAGATGCGTAGTGGCCTCGTGATAGACCATATCGTGCTATCAAACTTTTGCCTGGCTTGCACAACAGGACCCAAGGAAGGAGAAGCAGGACATTCTGCCTGGCTCATTCAGCATGCCCCTCTGTGCCAGAAGAATGTTGATTGTAATGCTGGCCAGATGGAAGTGGAGGCAGCACTACACTTGTTTGAGCGGTCACTTGAAAAGCACAAGCTTCGTTATACGACAATGCTGTCGGACGGCGACAGCAGGACATTCCATGCACTCGCAGAAAAAGAGGTGTACTGGCTTCATAAAGGACTGCATAAATCATGTACACAAGCGTATGGGAGCTGCCTTACGTACCCTTGTAGAGAGAAAAAAAAAAAAAAAAAAAACAAGAGCTCAAGGTGGCTCACTTGGTGGAAAGGGCAGACTTACGCAACAAAAGATAAAGAAGATCACCTCATACTATGGCTATGCATTGAGAAGCCACAGGAACGACGTTCCTGTGGCTCTCAATGAGAAGCCACAGGAACGACCAGGATTTAAAGCCTGAAGGCTTTGATAGATAGATAGATATGTGGGGTTTTACGTCCCAAAACCACCATATGATTATGAGAGACGCCGTAGTGGAGGGCTCCGGAAATTTAGACCACCTGGGGTTCTTTAACATCCTGAAGGCTGAAGGCTTGAAGGCTTTGAATCCTGGTTCAAATTTCAGAGAGCTCTTGCGAAAAATAAGAGCCGCCACCACACAAGGACAGCCTGCCTGATTCCGTAACTGAGGCATTGGAGCCTGTGTTTAGGCGGCTGAGCGACAATGCCCTCTTGGAAAGGTGCAGCTATGGGATCACCCAGAACCCAAGTGAGAGCGTGCACGCTATGATTTGGCAGCAGGCCCCCAAAACTCAGCATGCATCCTTGCGGAGCATTGAAAGGGCAGTTGCCGAAGCCATCAGCCGCGTCAACCAAGGCATAACCAAGGCACAATCAAGAGCAATGTGGAAATTGCCGAGAAGCTGGGCTACAGCGCTGGCAATAACTTGGTGCGTCGCAGCCTTGAGAAGGACAAGGGCAGGCTGCAAAAATCGCGAAGAGAGCATCTCGACAGCATTTCAATAAAGGAAAGACTTTCAAAGCGTCACAAGCCAGCAGGGGACTCTGCTTACAGCCCTGGTCTGCTGTAAACAGTCATGATGGCAAATAGTGAGAATTTTTGGAAAAATAAATATTCTTGGTTTTAGACCTAAACATTGTGTAAATCTATTGTCTATCCAAGGACAACATTATTACATGACTTTTTTGTGTTCTTTTCACTTGCAAGGCACTGGAACGACCACAAAGTAAAAAATAATTCTCATGAAGAGTCAATGACTATTTTATAGTTCTAGAACAAGCTGTGAGCAGTATTCTGGGTGGGTACAGTGAAATTTAGCATAGACATTAATCCTATAATACAGAGCTACAGAATGATGTCATTAATATCGCTGTAGCTTCACTTTAGCAAAAGTTAAAGTTGCTAGAAACTTCAAACACGTTTTTCTCAATTCGATGTTTTTGCACATTGCAATCGGCCTTACGGGGGTTTTTCCTATGTTTAACTTGAGTGAATGCGACAAGTTGGTATCATTTTATTCGTCTTGACATGATCTAGGGGGGTGATGCTATTTTTATTTCTCTAGCATCACTTCAAAATTTACCATTGAAGATTTCAGTCAGAGAAATTTATTGTAATATAGTGACCATAAGTGTTCGTCTGTTTTCTTGCTTATAAAATGTTTTCAAATGGATAAAAATAGCATCACCCCCTACAGCAAGTCGCCAGCATTGGGACTATGCATTCACTTTTTGGATTTAGCAAGAATAAATTGCCAAGAATACCCGTAAGCAGTACGCAATTAATTAAGATTCAGATCGTATTTTCTAAACTACTTGAAATATTAAGAAACAAATTAGAGATTTGAAATCGGCATGAAAAACTAGCTTAGGTAGTGAAGTTTGGTTAGGATTGAGCAAAAAAAAAAAAAAAATGTTAGAACCCATGTCCCCCTTAAGCCACACTAAGAGAAAGCTTTTATGAACGTACAACCACAGTACATTTAGTGCACACTTTACCAAAAATTAGAGCTTGCCGAAGCTGCAATGCAGGGCTCTCGCAAACATCAGAATACGATAGAAAATCAAGAATACACCTGTGCTGGCAAGACAAATGGCACCACTCACAAACTTGATGTCCTTAGGCATCTTGACTTGTGTTGCGATTCCACCTCTGAGGTAGTCTCCAAATTGTGTCGTGTCGCCCACGCTAAATGTGTAGGGACCTTGCGAGATAGAAGAAAGCATACATGAACAAAAAACGGTACATTGTCAAGCAAACAGCACAAGTACAACCATTAGCCCCGAAGGAAGCTTTGCTGATAACACAAAAACTGAACTCACCGAGCACCTTGACTTTCATGGGTGGGCAGTTGTTGATCTCTGTCATGCCACCAACTTCTGTGAAAGTCACGTAGTCCCCATCTTCAAGTCCGTGCCGGGTTTCATCCAGGCAAGTCACTACTGCATCCTTGTCCTAGGGCACAAACGCCGTAGTGAACCGTTTCAATAATTTATTTCACAGTGTGAATGTAATGTGAAGAGTTGTTTCAAGAAGTAAAGACATGTTCACACTTCACGTGCTCCTTGCAGGTACAGTTGCCGACAGTTTATTCGGAGATCTTCATGGCACCACCGCTCTCCCCATTGATCCTAATGTGAACTCGCGAATGAAAATTCAGGCACCCACCGTGCGCCATTCGATTATTTGGACTTCCTATGACTGACCGGATGCGCCGCCGTACGCCATTACACGCTGACAGCGACGTTAATACGTTTGCTAGGTTGCCAGCACCGATATGCTGCACTAGCTATGGATGGATGTCGGGCCAGAGGCAAAATGCAAGCGGAAATTGCCATTGTCGATCTCGAAGGCTATGTGAGGTGACGCATTTTTTTATTTTTATTTTAGCCGGTCAAGCAGCCAATACAAGCCACCTACAGAGTCTGTTCGCTGTGGCGCTTGGCATGTGTCAGCAGAGCAGCGTCAGTCAGCTTCTTGTTCTGTGTTCTTGCTCTCATGCGTGTTCCGTGGCGTGCTGAAATGGCTCCGACGCCACCCGTATGCTGCGCCGTCGGGAGTGAAGAAACGCGGCCAACGTGGGAGCTACAAGACACTCACGATGACGAAAAAAGCGGAGATAATTCGCCAGGTAGAAGGTGGCCGACCTCAGTCTGAAGTGGCTTAGGGAATTTTCTATTTCCTAGCAAACAGTCTCGGAAGCGCGTGTGTGTGCAGACTACACAGTTTTTTCGGGCGATAGGGCCTATAAAAGATATTTTCGAGTGAATTCGTTTTTTCGGACTCCCGATTATTCGAACTTTTTGGCGGTTCTCGTCGAGTCCAAATAAACGGTCGGCGACTGTATTGCGAACGACGCTTAGCAAAAGCAAGGGTTGAACATAATCTCCTGTACTTACTTTCCCAATGACTTCGCCCCAATTTCGTCAAGAAAGATAGATTTTACCTCTTATAATGATACCATTGAAGTCTGCTTTAGCTTTGCACGAAGAAAGAAAAGCAATTGGTGTGCAAGTATATATGGTACTATATAGAAGTATGGTTAAGCTAATTTGAAAATATGGCATTTCAGAAACTGCACCTCAAAAATGTTTTACATAGAATATACAGAGATTGCCTCTATTGTTTCAACGAGCAGAGACCACACATACTGTAGAGATTGTGGGCTTGGCTAACACATCACAAGCTGTCCACTGAAGTCACTTTCTGTTTTGCTTATTCGGTGAAAGAAAAGTCAAGTCTTCAAGACTGGTTAGGTTCATGAGGCCGCTTAACACTAATGTTCCAAAGCACGGGCTAGCGCAGATACCAATGGAACCCTGATATCTGCTTGCAAAATGCGATGGTATGTCCTTTTCTTTCCCACTCTTTCCACAGCACAAGTCCACTGTACAAGGAAATGCACCTCTACTGAAGTGGGTTGTTCACTACTGCGGCAGATGCCACAAGCCAGATTGATAACACGAAGGTTTATGTAATTTCAAGAAGATTCCGAACAGTTTTCTAAGCAGATAACACTACACTCTTGGTGTATTGCCAGTTACTATTTATTAAACTACTACCACTACTAACAGCTTCCATGGTAGTCAACCAGTTGTCTTCGTGTGCCACACACTACGAAATCAAGGCCTTCAGAGAACATCAAGCATTTCACTCAAACCTCATTATAACAGTCACATCTGCCACAAAAATATTCGTTATATACAGCAATTTGTTATAAACTATTATTTGTAATACTATGTCAAAGCTATTGGCTGCTTCTTTATAACCAATAATTCGTTGATATATATAAAGTTTTCAGTGTACTACTTTTAAAGACTAAGCACTAAACACACCTTGCTGATGGAAGCAACCATGACTGACACAGGCTGTTCTCCATTGGTGTCAACCACACGGAACGTCTCGCCGAAGTCGCAGAAGATCTGCCTGCAAGGCAGTGGCATGGAAACAAGAACAGGCAAAATTGTCATATTTCAGTTCAAACTCGTGCAAATTTCTTTTGCAGAGAAAAAATATACATGAATAATTGATTTACCCAAAGAGGCCTCTGGTGTCGGCTACGATGAGGGCAATGTTGTGAGAGCGCGTGAAATACGAGATAGACAGCTGCTCCGCCAGCGGAGTGTCCGTCAACACCACCACCTGTCAAAAGACACCACACATTTCTTTTGCTTTGTGAGAGTCTTTACATGCATCGTTAAATGAATATGAAGCAAGATGCCATCTAACAGCTTTCAGCTCAGTGAAAGGGGTGCCGACACAAACTTTGGCCTCGCGTTTTTCTGCTGATACAATGTGTTTCTGGAGGCCTGTTAGGTCAACACGACACATCGTTTGCTGCAGCATGTGACAGATAATTATAGGCCCCTCATTATCGACCAGTTTTAGTTTCAACTTGAAAGAGGTCTAAAAACAAGAAGCTGCTGGGTACAGCTATTGCCGCCTAGCATGTGCAGCTCTTTACCACGTCAGCACACAAAACTGACACATTTCCACATGGTCCGTATCAAGAATTACTTGGAGACGAGACTACAGTGTCGTCAAACAACACTTTCAAAGCGTGCGCCACGGTCACGCACTTGCGATTAGCCGCCGAGAAGTACCGTATTTGCTCGCATAATCGGCGCATTCGCATAATAGGCGCACCCCTAGTTTGGTCGCGGAAAATGCGATTTTTTTTTAATTCCGCGCATAATAGGCGCTGTGGGAAAGCCACGCTTCGGAGTTTAAAGGCACCAAATGAAGGAGACGCAAACGCCAGCATCCATGGTAAAAGAGCGTGTTCTCTTTCGGCTGGCTCTTCCTCTTCCTCGTCGTTCTCCGTCTCTTGGTGCGCGCGCTATTCGCGCGGGAGGTTCAAACAATTTCCAACATCCTCCGCGCCCGAAAGTTCAATCGCCCAGCTCCAACGGGCATAAAAGTTGTACTGGCCTCGTAACTTCCGTACCTCCTGCCAAGACAATCTTGCAGGCTCTAACGTGATTATCACTTGATAAGTACACGTCAGTAACTCTACCAACTTTCCAAAAAGTTATGGGCACCTTGTTTTCCTTAATGACGACTACATCGTTAACCTTAAGCTGGTTGCAAGGCTGTACTCGCCTAATGTGTGCACTCCTCAAGCACAAGAGGTAGTCTTTATACCAACGCTTCCAAAAATCAGCCACTATTTGCTGCCTGTACTTCCAATGCTTTAAAGTATCGGAGCGAGTTCCCGACGTTTCAGCAGTATTAGCACTAGGCAGTGTAGTAGACTTCCTACCGGTTAGAAAGTGCGAAGGTGTAAGTACAGCTGGATCGGTAGCGTCAGCGGAGAGGTACGTTAATGGCCTAGAATTCACTACATTTTCTACTTCGGCAAGAATGGTCACAAGCTGCTCGAAATCAAAGCAACCTTTCCCTAGAATTTTCCGTAGGCAGCTTTTAACAGTGCGAATCATCCTCTCCCAAAATCCACCCCACCAAGGACTACGTTCTGCAATGAATTTCCAGGTAATGTGGTTATTAGAGCAAAAGTCCTGTACTTGGAAGTCTCTCAAAGCTCTGTACATCACTTTTAAGTCGCGACTGGCAGCATGAAAAGCTAGAGCATTGTCGGAATAAATAACACTAGGCAAGCCGCGTCGCGACACAAACCGACGGAAAGCCATTAAAAATGACCCCGCCGTCATATCGGAGCACAACTCCAAATGGATCGCCCGAACGACGGCACACGTAAAAATAACGATATAGGCCTTCACGGGACTGGTTCCTTTCACAAAAACGGGACCAGCAAAGTCAACACCCACAACTTGAAAAGGGTGTGATCTCTTAACCCTGTCGGTCGGCAGTGGTGCGGTAGGGGCTGTTGCAGGTTGGAGCTTGAATCTAGCACACACTTTGCACCTAGAGAGCACTTTTTTCACACACTGGCGGCCCTTAATCACCCAAAAACACTCGCGTAGCTCTGAAAGGGTATCGTTTACACCACTGTGCAGCAGGCGCCGGTGCGTGCGGTCGATGATGAGGTATGTGCAGCGGTGGTCAGCTGGTAGTAGAATCGGGCACCTCACGTATTCTGATGTTTTTTACGTTGTCAAGCCGGGTCTTGATTCTTAAAATCCCATCATTGTCCAGGAATGGATGCAGATTACGAATTCGGGATGCCTTAGCTAATGGTTGGTTTTTTAACAATGAGGCGAGTTCTATACTAAAGGCTTCCGCTTGTGCATTCTTCATCCATGTAAACTCGCCTTCTTTTATCTCAGGGGCAGTGAGTGGGCCCATCAGACGACGACTGGTGTGCACTCGACAATTGTGAATAAATCTTCGAATCCAAGCTGTGATTCTAACAACTCGTATCCAGCTGCTGTACTTGTCGAGCTCGAAAAGTGGCTCTGCTTGCGAGCATTGACAAGCCAAAACTGTTGTGTCTTCGTCGTTTGATCTACATAGTTCATCCGTTGACTCATGAGGACCAGCTTCACTTGCCGGCCACGTTTCTTGGGTACCAGATAGCCAGTCAGGCCCATGCCACCATAAATCGCTAGTACAAAGGTGATGCGCTGATATCCCTCTTGTAACTAAGTCGGCTGGGTTTGTCTTTCCAGAGCAATGTCTCCAGCGACTCGGGTCTGTGAGCCCTTGGATCTCAATTACCCTGTTACAAACGAAGGGCTTCCACTTGGTGGCTGTAGACTTGATCCAACTCAAGCAAACTTGGGAGTCGGTCCAGCAGAAGTATTCTATATTTGTGTGTGGCAAAGTATCCACAAGTAGCTTAAGAAGTCGAGCTCCAAGAACCGCAGCGACGAGTTCCAGGCGTGGTAAAGTGAGACCCTTGATTGGAGCGACCCGAGACTTAGCGAGCAGCTGCTGGAGTCGAACCGCTCCGGTACTGTCTTCCACTCGTATGTATGCCACTACTCCGTAGGCACACGGGCTAGCGTCCGTGAATATATGCAGCTGGTGAGTGCTTTTATCAGGGCTGCTGTTGTCTAGTTGATACCTCTTGGTTCTAAAGTCTTTGAGGTCTTGAAGTTCGACAGTCCACTTGTCCCACTCGATCTTCAATGTCTCGGGGAGAACGCTTTCCCAATCGAGTCCTTGCATCCATATCTTCTGAAAAAGTATTTTAACTCGAATGGTGAACGGTGCTAGCAGTCCCAAGGGGTCGAAAATTCGTGATGAAGCCTGAAGCACAGTTCGCTTGGTACAAAGTCCCGCTTTTAAGACTTTCGTCACAGAGTCAATTTTCACCGAAATGGTGTCGTCGGTGTAGTTCCAGGATAGCCCAAGAACCTTAGATTGTGTGACCTGCTCAGCTGACGTCTCTCCTGCTTGCTTGAGCTTCTCTCTTAACAGGTCGCAGTTTGTTGACCACTTCTGCATTTTCATTCCGGCCAGCTCCATTATGGCCTTCGTCTCTTCGTAGAGTTGTAGCGCTTCTTTTGTCGTTGAAGCTCCGAAAACTAGGTCATCGACGTAGAAGCTTGCCTTCAGTTTTGCGGCCGTTACTTGGTAAATTTGTTCAACGTGATCGAAATGGTATTTCAACGTTGCAGATAATAGGAAAGGGCTTGCGGAGGTGCCGAATGGAACTCTGGTCATTCGCATTTCTTGTATTTTTGGCAGTGGTCTGCCTGACATTGGTAGCTCTTCAAACCACAAGAAACGAAGAGCATCTCTGTCTTCTTCTCGAATGCTGATTTGTAGAAACGCCTTCTGCACGTCTGCTGTAATTCCGATGGCGAAAAGGCGAAACCGGATCAAAACCTTGAAAAGGTCAGCATTCAGATTAGGACCTTTTTCGAGTTGTTCGTTGAGAGAACAAGCTCCTGATGCATGCGATGATGCGTCGAAGACTACGCGAAGTCTCGTCGTCGTAGATGTTTCGCGGATTACCTCTCGATGCGGCATGTAGTATAGGTGCTGTGTACAATAAGGGGCATCTTCAACTTTTTCAGCATGACCGTCCACCTCATACTGCCTGATAGCCTTATCGTAGGCTCTCATGGCTTCGTCGTTTGGTGACAGCCGCTTGACGAGTCCATGGAGCCTCGAAAGGGCTACTTTGCGATTGTCGGCCATGTCGACGAGAGGTGATTTCCATGGCAACGCAACTTCATAGCGTCCTTTCCGAAGCCTGGTAGTGTTGTTGAATTCTTCCAAAATATCTGCGTTGCACTGAGACGTCGGCGTGTCGGCAATTCCGATAGCATCGAGGTCCCAAAATCTTTGTAATGGGAAGGCGATCTGGTCGTCTTCGTGGGAACCTGTTCGAAGAACACATACTTGGGTGCTTGCTTTGTTACTCGTGCTTCCACCACCAGATAAGGGGCCTTGGAGAGTCCAGCCCATCTTTGTGTTAATGGCGAGTAAGGCAGGGTTTTCTTCATCCCACCTCACTTCACTCGTGTTGGGCATCAACTTCCAAAGCTGGTCCGATCCAATGAGGACACTCACACCTGGCTCACAATCTACACTCGGGTAAACGACTGCGTCAGCCAGATGTTTCCCCTCCGCTGCGATGGCTTGAAGAAGACGACTCTGCCTTGGTGCTTCAATCATCTCCTCGCAAATAAAGGGCACCACTATGGCCTCAATGTCAATGGTTAGGTCGTCGTGCTGACTGCGGAGCGTGATCTTGACCATTTGAATCGTCGGGTTGGGTCGCTCGCTCTACCAAACGCACTGATGGCGAGTTCGGTCTCGGCAACAGCAGGTAGACTTAGCTTGGAAGCGACGCTCTCAGTGACGAACGTTCGCTGGCTTCCGTTGTCGAGAACACCGCGTATATAGCAACAATGAGATGAAGTCGTTACCCAAGCTCGAAAAGTCTGGAGAAGAACATCATTGATGAGTCGGGGAACTGAAGCTCTCTGAGTGGAAACTTGCACCGTAGCATTCGGTTTCTTCTGAGCATTAGTCACTGATGGTGTTTCAGAACTACTAGCATTGCACATCGAGGAGGCGTGTCTGCGCTTGCATGCTTGGCAGTGCACTCTCCGCCGGCAATTGCGGACCAGATGTCCTTTTGACGTGCACCGGAAGCATCGACCGTCTGTTACAAGTTTGTTGCGCTTCTCGGCCAGAGTCATGTCACTCGTGCAGTCCTCTGTCCTGTGATCGGTAGCAGCGCAGAAAAAACAGGACGAGGGGGA